AGTCCTAGGAATATCATGAGTACTAACAGCATGTGTGTTTCTTATATCCTATTTACTACAGTATTTTTATTATATCCTTTATACAAGCTGCTTTTTCTGCTGTTTGTACTGGCAGCCAAACATGACTTGCTACAAGGAGGAAATCTTTGGGCCTGTCCTAGTGGTGCTGGAAGCAGACACTTTGGATGATGCCATTGAGATGGTGAACAATAACCCCTATGGGAATGGAACTGCAATCTTCACCACCAATGGAGCCACAGCTCGGAAGTATTCTCACTTAGTGGATGTGGGGCAGGTATGTTCCAGCAAGGGTTGTTGCTTTTAGCCCTCACCATTTACAGTGGGTAATCATTCAGCTGTAAACACTGCCCTCTCAGCCAGCAGTACCCAGCCTCAGATATAAGAAACAAAATGCAGAAGCTTTTGGAAGGTGTTCTTGTGACTAATATGGCAGCTTTCCTTTGGTGTAGGTGGGTGTCAACGTTCCAATCCCAGTACCTCTGCCCATGTTTTCTTTCACCGGCTCTCGTGCTTCTTTCAGAGGAGACACCAATTTCTATGGCAAACAGGTAAGTTTCTGATTCTGAGTACTCTACTGGGTTGAATTGTGATAAATCATGTTATAAATGGCAATGGGGAGATCGTCATCAGACATCATTAGTGAGGAGACTTTGAAGCCATTTCAGCCAGGAAACTGAAAACCAGCCAGTGATCACAGCACCATAATGCATGTCACAATCATATAGTCCATTCCTCTTTCTTTTTTCCTTAAGTAAAAAAATGCAAGTATTAGTAGATTTGAGAAGGGAGCAATAACTAGCAAGCTTTCTCACAGAATCAGAATCTTCATGAAACTGGTAAAAAGAACAGGTTGACAAGAATTGTTTCCACAGAAGTAAACTCAATCCTGTTTAGATAAAGCAAAAACTGCTTGATATACCACTAGTGTAGACCTGAGGAATTCATAAGGCCAAATATCTGATCTGTGGATCTGTCCTTTCCTCCAGGGAGTGCAGTTCTATACACAGCTGAAAACGATCATTTCTCAGTGGAAAGAGGAAGATGCCACCATTGCCAAGCCTGCTGTGGTTATGCCAACTATGGGAAACTAAACCAGCCTTTGCAGATGCTGTTCCTGGTGCCCTTCTATGCTGCACTTCCCAACTTCATCCTGACTGTCACCCTTTACTTGGGAATGAATAGAAGCTCCTTTGTCTCAAGGATCTGTTACTGTGCAGATTGGGCAGGCTCATGTGATGTGACCCACGGTCTGTTGCTGTCAGTGGTTTTTTTTGGTTAGCTGAACTAATTTTTTTCCCTACAACCTATCAAAGACTAAACAACCTTATCTAACTGAAAGGGCAGCCACTGAGATTGGTCTTAATTTGTGTTTCTTTCCAGACCCCATGAACTTGAACATTACTCTGGTTTTCATTTCAGTATCTTTAGTCTTAGTGACTCACTCATGGCTACGTCTTGTAGCAGGTTTATTTACCTCTTTATCTTGCATATTAAGGTTCTGAGTTCACCTTACTCAAAGATGACTACTCATTTTGAGTGACATAACTGGGACATCTTGGTTGTCTCATAGAAGTGACTTTACATACAATGAAGACAGCAAATTGTCAGTCTTTCACCTGTTGAGCAGTTTCCAAAACACTGGGAACTTGCTTTGTACGAATTTTTCAGGAAAGTGTATTTGATTCCTTGTCTGAGGATGAAAGAAATTTGTGTATGGTACAGTGACCTTCACTGTGCCTCTGACAGCTTGAAAACTTCTGTTCCTGTTCTGTCTGGGGCTTGTATGCTTAAGCTTGCCAGCAATTCCATTATACCTGAAAGTTGTTTTCTGCCTTTTCACTATGCTAAAGGATACAAGCCTACACGTCCTGTAACATAATGAAACAGTGGAAGCAGAAACATAACCATGTCTATGTATTTTTGTGTCACAGCATCATGTGCGTCTGAATAAAATGGAGCGTAAGTGGAGAGGTCAGTAGGAAGAAAGAACACAGTTTTTTAATCAAAAAGCAGCCAGGCTTTGTTGGTTTCCTGTCCTGACTGTAGCTGTATTTCTTGTGTTGGTTGATTAACTCCTTGTTACATTTGCTCAAACACAGTCATGTACTCTTGGGACTGCAAGTTCCTATTGCTAGAGAAGAGTAAGGTTTGGTATATATACTCTGGTTTTAAGAATCTGTGCGTTTAGAGCTGGAGAACCTATATTTTTATTTCTGGTTCTTGAAAGATGATGCAGCTATGAAGGATTTGCAGGGATCTCACTCAAACACCCATGAAAAATAATATTCTTCTAATGATTGTAACCATTACTTGTTCTAATTAAACAATCTGAATGTGAACACTTTGTATCCTGCCTTCTGGTAAAAATGCCTTGTAACTGACAGCTCTATATTAATGCAATTGCTGTGCATTCACTAATTTGTTTGTATCTTGTTTTTTGACTGCTATACTCTAGAGGTAATTCTCACCTTGCAATTTGATTACAAATTAAAAACATGCTCATATATTCCTGCAGACTGTGACTGTTCCTTGGTAAGACCTTATATAGGTGTGATACTGATTTTATTTCCCTCTTCACAGGAGATGGTCTGCAACTCCTGTAACCTGTGTATACATCTTCGTTTTACAGTATTTCAGGGACCTCTGTACCAGTTTCCTCACACAGTATTTCAAGGAATGCCGTGTTTCTGTTTCCATGTACACATGACTTGATCACAGAACCTCTTAAGCTTCATGTAAATAGCTTTACTACAAAATGAAAATACATTTTCACCAACTCACACCAACACTTTATACACAGGGTTCTTACCACTAGTCCAAATGCTAGTGCTTTGTACAGGGTCTTGCAATATCCTGGCTTGGGAAAGAATGAAGTCTTTAAAAGGGAGAAAAAGAAGTATATTTCAGATGGATTTCAGACACAGAGTCAAAGCAACAGTGCAGCAGACAGGGAATCTAGAATTCACAGCCTTACTCAGAAGCTAACTTCCAAAATTAAAAGTGCAGATGAGTTGCTAATTGCTGGTTGCTGTTCATGGAAAGTGTATAGCTACCTTACTTGGTCTGTGCTGTTAACACCTGAGTATGTGGATCACTGCAGACAAGGATGAATCTGATAATGTGGTCTGCTGTGTAATAAATATTAGTTTGGGAGAAGTATTTTCTGTATTGCAAAGGTAAAATATTCTAAGTAAGCCAGTATTAAGACACTGGCATCCACTCTAGCACCTAGGAAAGAAATACTAATTAAGAGCCTCTAATACTGCCTACAGTCATTTACTTTCAAAATGCCTTAATTTTCTTTCTAATCAGCATTGCTATTCTGACTTTGCTGTTGTCCTATTAAAACCCATTGTATCTTTCCTTTAGAAATTCTAAAATCCATGTTCTCCTGGTAACAAAAGCAGTCTATTAGCAAGGTTACCTGTACCCTGAGGAATAGCAAAACTATTACTGCACTTTCTCTAGATATCTTCTACACCCCTGTTATGATCTTTTCATTTATGTGCAACCATCTTTATTAATTATGTACATTTCCAACAGTATTTTTACGCAGATAGTTTTAAATAATTGTACTAGCAATACAAATCTTGTGTGTTCCCTTTTTAATAATGAACTGCCTTTTTTAGATCAAGCTGCAGATGCTATTTGATCGTGATTTACCTGCCTCATCTCATTGCTGTTATCGCTTTCCGCTCATCTGTTTATTCTCCTTTTTATTTAATATATGACATAAAAATAAGCTAAATAATGTATCTTCTATGTTATACAAAAGTATAATCTGAAGCATCTCATAATAAATTTTTTAGACTATTGAAATACAATTTCATAGTCAACCCTTTGAATATTATTAAAAATAGCTTCTTGCTTAGAAGGCACTGAAGTCTAGATTTTGAAAGCTATTTAATACACATAAATCCAAAAATTGTTTTGAAATGGCTTAACCACCTCTGAGAATTGGGCCCTGTGACTTCCAAGGATTTTTTTTCCCTGTGTATGTCAAGAAACAGGCTCCAATCCACTTCCACGTCCATTTTGGAAAGTGGCACCCTGCCTTTCCAAAGGAAGTGTCTCACACCTTTCTTTATGTATAAATGCCTCCAGGGGTCTGCTTATGAACTTTATCTGGTAATTTGATGTCTGAGTATTACATTATGGCTTGTGTGTTTGACTGCCTCACATCTGACAAGCTGTGCATGCCAGAACCCCACCCTACCTATTCTTCCCAGGTAAGCTGACATTGCTTGCCTTGGAGTGTTACCATTAGCATTAAAGTTGTAACTGAGTTGGTATCTGAAAATCAGGCATATGAGTGTTCATCATGGTCCACCCTCTCTGATTCTATGCTGGATGCAACATCAGCTGCATAGATTTTGCCTTTTTAATCAAAACTCACTGTGCTAGCTGAAAATGCATCTCTGCATGATAATGGACTTTCACAATCACAAGAGCATCCTCTAGAAAACATAAACCTTTCCCATATGAGAAGGCTTACGGGGTCATGAGATTTTTTTTTTTTTTGCATGAGAACTGGGTCTAAATGCCTGCAGCTGAAAGATCAACAAAAAACCAAATTTTAAAATGAATAAAAAAGTCCTCACTTTTTTCACACAAACGTTCATGTGCGTATAGATACACTACTATAGATCTTATGTCCCAATTCATAGCTTATATTTAAAGCTGCTTGAACTTTGAATTTCCAGTGTAAGCCATATTTTAGGTATCTCTAAAGACATGCTCCCATATTTCTTATGCAGACAGCAATGAACCATAGAGTAAGTAAACTTTTCATTATCTGGCTGTGAGTATTTGTACTTTTTAATACTGGGAAGTTTGCTTCACAATACTCTTATATGGAAATATACTTGGTTATTTCCATTCACATGGAAATAATGTCACAATGGACATTATTTACTTGTTTGGTAAAGATGGATAGGGATCCATTAATGACTGAACAAAATAAATCCCAATGCACTGAGCAAAGATAATTCTCCTGACTTTTATTATTGACCTTAGCAGTACCAAAATTTATTTCCACTTGTTTTTCTTTTAATACAATACACAAAGATCTAACAGTATAGTCTAGTGCATGTAAAAAAATCAGTATATGGTGTACCAACTTTTTCAAAAAGTAAAAATACCACACACCAAGCCACATAGCTAGATTCTTATATTAGATTCAGAACTTACTGGAATCCTTTGACATGGGCATGTGTGGTTCTTTTGAAGCAGCCCAGTTGAGTGTCCACCCGCTGAAGAGACAAAAGATTGCCATGGATTTGCCCCTTTCATTTGGACAAAAAGCAGTCACAAAACACAAGGCGTTTTTCTCATGTCCACTTACTCATACCAAATTTTTCAACTTTTTTTCCCCTGAAAAACATGAAGAAGATAAATGTATTAGAAGAAAATGTCAAAGGTGTATCATTCATGGATTCTGTATCTGTAAACAGGTTTAAAATTCTAGCTCTGCATTGTTCTTATTCAGCTTTTCATAGCACATAAATTTAAAAAATAAATGTGAGCACGCAGTTGTGGTTTCAACTTCTAAACCTATTCTCTCTAAACTAAATAGAACAAACCAAATTATTTCTGTTCTGTTAGTGATTATAAATACTGAGAGGGGAACGCCTTGTACAAACATGTATTAGTTTCAAATACATTGTCCTTTCCTCATCTCTCCTGTTCATACATAAAAAGGTCAATACATAATTATCTCTCTCAGTTTCAGTCTCCCCCTTCTCCAGGGGAGAGGATTCCATAGACCTAAACTAAAAATTTCACCCCTGATTTTTCAGGCAGTGTTTCTGCTGTATCATTTTTGAGATAACCTGAACAAAGCATTCCAACTGATCGTGTGTCACCAAGTTATTCAGTAGCCAATCCATACAAAACAAACATTTTTCTGGGGTTTAGGATCATCTCACCAAGGATGTATGCAAGCTTCAGCTATGGGGGACCTTATCTCTATGGCTTAAAATCCAAGTGGTCAGACACTGCTGCAGTCGGTAGATACAGATTTTAGCATGAGGCTGGAGACCTGCAATCCTGGCTACTGCAGCATGTGTGGCTCTAAATTTATTTAAACTGCATCCTAGCAGAAATGCTGAGATACACTTGTAAATCTGAGATTTTGTTTTATTGACTATAAAATGTAATCCTGTCAATCAGTGCTACACTGCATGTGATCCTGTTTTCAATATGTCAGTGTCTGTTTCATGTAACTACAGAAGCACATCCGTGCTGGAAGTTCTCTATCAAATTCCACAGGACATGGCAGAGTATGCAAAGAACTCTTTTGAGCTTACCTTTAATTTAATCGATAGAAATGATGACCAAAAAGTGATAACCTAGTTGAAATTCAGTGCCCACAAAATCATTACAATTTATAGGATACTGCAACTCATTCTCACTATAGAAATCTCCATAACCATTCCAAATCCAAATAGTATTATCATGCAAAGGATTTTCAGGTGTCTGTCTAGGAAGTGAGACACTACTTTTCAATGTTTCCATACCAACAGCATTTATGTACTTCCTCTAGGTCGCTGTGCACCTTACTTATGCTATTTCTGTTGCTTTTGAATGTTTTGATTTGGGAAAATGGTTTCTTCCCTGCACATGGCTCTGTATTTTTTTTGTTATAGGTAGTTTGGGGCTTTTTCTTTTAATGCTTTCCAGTGGATATGATCCCCTAATTCACATTAGAGCATCTATATAGAACCTTTCCACCTCAGTCTCCTCAGTTAAGATATTCTGGGCTATGCTCTTCACTCAGTCCATCTCTCAATTCTTCATTTCTAGTAGTTGCTGCAGGTTTTTTTCATCTCCACCATACTTGGTTGGTGCTGTGTTTTCTCAGTCTCACAGACTTTTCTGGCCATGTGCCCATAAGGCCATCTCCAGTGTTTCCACTTTATTCTACAGACCTCTGGTCTGTGCTACAGGTGGTGGTGCGGTGCTGAGAGAAAAGTGACAGATACAGAGAGAAAAACAGCCAGCTGGAAAAAGCTCCAAGTTCTTTTATGCCAGATAGGCTGCGAAAGCAAGCACTGGCACATGAACAAGAAAATAATTTCCTACCGACAGATCTAATCAATGCCCTGAGGATCAGAGATTTTTATCTTCTTGTTCAATAAATACGATGTTAAAATAGTTAAATTTTCGTTTCCATTTTCAGTTTCTTTTTCTACCTGTAAATGGGTTTGCTTGGTACTTGGATTTAGAAAAGTAGGAATAGAGGTAAAGTAAAAGAATCCGTGATAGCGCAAATGGGAGCCACAGCATAGGGCTTCTCTTTCATTGTGTTCTGACAAGAGTTTGGCTCTGTTTTCTCTAAAACCTCCTCCCAGTGGCCAAACCCAGCAGATTCCCTCGCAGCTCTTTTTTCGAGCTGAACAAGCGCTTCAGCCTCTCCTTGTCCATGCCGTGCTGAAGGCCCCCGCCGCGTTGGCTCCGGTGCTCAGCTGTCCCTGGCGAAGGGGGCGGGCCGGGAACTGCGGCCGGATT